CCATTTGATGTTTATTGTAGATACAAACTCGATAAATTATGCTCGAAAAATGAATGGGGACAATCTGTCTCTACTAAACATTTATAAATAAATAAACCTATCCATATATTATTAAATATATAAGKCAACACATTTCCATACACGGAATTCGGTCAACACGTTACAACTCATTTATGGCGCAGGTCGCAACAATACATAATTGTAATAATAATACAAAGATATTATGTGAATGTGATATAAAATAATAGCGTAAATAATGCGTGACTGTTTTAATTTAAGACTATGCCTATATAGTATATATACGTTATAATAATACAATTTGACATCTATCTGCTATAAAATACAATCGTWCCTACCCCACCCACGTTCTATACCTACTTATAACATAAGTTGATATACTCATATTTATAACTATGAAACAATTGGTTAATCTCGTTCGTTTTCTGTTCCAGGAGCAAACGGACTCAGACGCCGTGGTCGACAGACGTACACCAGATACCAGACCCTTGAACTGGAAAAAGAGTTCCACACCAACCATTACCTGACTCGCCGGCGGCGGATAGAGATGGCGCATGCGCTGTGCCTCACCGAAAGGCAAATAAAGATATGGTTCCAAAACAGGAGGATGAAGCTGAAAAAAGAGATACAGGCCATTAAGGAGCTGAATGAGCAGGAGAAACAGGCGCAGGCGCAGAAGGCCGCCGTGCTGGCAGCCGCTCAGGCCGCCGGTGATCGCTAAAAGAAAAACGGATAACATCTTTTTTTTTTTAAAACAACCACCCCTGACCTATAATATACGAGTTATCATTAATTTTCCTTATCGTTTTATTATTATTATTTTATTTTTTACCCCCTTCGTCGCCATATTTTTTTAACGTTTTTATTTTTGTACATAAATTTGTAATTTTCGTTTTTTTTTTATATATACCCATGCAACCTTATATTATTGTATTATATACTATTKTCGCCCGCGCGACGGTCGTGTTTGTTTCTAGTTGTGTTCAATATATAATATTGTATATACTATCCCCTATTTTATTATATAAAATAATGTATTCATAAGGATTATGTCGCTTTTTTCATTATATATAATATATTTATAAATATAATACTGTAAATGTAAATACGAAATCTATATACGTAATAGGTGTGCTAAGTCACCGAAACCCTTTCATCCCCCCCCAACCAGACTCTCGTCATGCCATCCTGCAGAATCGTCCCAAATAATAAAACCGCGCGGCCGAGCTGATGCAAATACGACGGCAACGAAATGCGGCATCGCAAAAAGAAGACGTCACCGTGACCGCCGCCGCCATCGCCGCTGCCGCCGATACAACACTATACTAGCTGCTGCTGCGGCAGGATTGCAGGAATGCCATGAGCACACGCGCTCGTATACCTATATATATATATATATATACGAATCCTTGGGATCACGATCACCAGGTAAGAAGACGACCGCATTTTTAAATATAAACATTTTATATTACTAGTATATTGTGTAAATAATTTAGTATATAATCTATCTGCAGTATATATATATATATATATATATATGTATAACTACGATATAGTAACATGTATATATAATATAATATAATTTAAACATCTATATTTGTTCAAGTGTTTGTATATAATGGTATAGGTATATATACTGTATGGACATCGCATAAGATATTTATATTATATATACATAGAGATTTTTTCACCCCGAACCTCCGTCACCCGCGTCCGACCGCATGATGATATTTCGAGAATTTTGTTCTTTTGTTTCGGCCAATCCACCTGCTGCTGATGCTGCTACAGCGTTGTCGGAATAACTGATCAGCGATGGCCGTGTGCCTATGTGTGCACTGTGCGTGTGCAAGAGAGCGGCGGTGACGAAAAAAAATTGTCAGCCGTCGCGACCTTATGGAGTCTTCGGCTCGAGCGTTTCAATTTGTCCGGTCACCACAAAAACTAGTCAATGCATAATACGTACTGCAGACGACGTCCCGTGCGCCTGGGGCCTGGGGGGCTCCTGTGTTATTATATTGTTGCTATTATTATTTTAGTTTTTTTTTTTTTTACATAAAAAATAAACCAGAAACGCCAAATTTGGTACCGTCCTTGTTGTTATAGTATTTGGACGTGTATAATTTTTTTCTTCTATATTATATTATATTATATACCACATGCTATTATATATTATTTCACGTTTTCGATGACTGCTCGACTGCAAAATAAACGCGAGTAGGTACCTTATATAATAATTGTGCTGTAKACGTCCTTATATATATATACATGTATACTGCAGCTACAGGAGAATATTATTCTAAATATTATAACCTATAAAGTCGAATGGCGTTTATTCGCTCGAAACTTTACTATGAAAATAATAATATTATGACGTGTGAAGG